TTAACATTCCTGAAAGTATTTAGTCAAATCCTCCAGTCATGCCATCAGATTTGAATTCTTAAAGAAAATTGGCCAATTTAATTTCCCATTTATGAAGTACAGAAAAACATTATAATCCTTCTTTCTCACATCCACTTTATCTTTATGTCCACCAAAAGACCTATGGACCAGTTTCCAAGTTCTCTTTAGACCATACGTGTAAATCAAAGCACACAGTAAAAGAATACTTCACAAAGTTCATTATATAGTACCACTGGAAGTACCTTAACTATAATTTACTGGAATTCCAACAGGCTTGGTCAGGAATATAATTGGATTCGTTTACTTAGGTAATAACAGTCATATAATAAGTTAATTGGTAGATACTGACACATTAAAAAAAAAGTGTTATCCTTGAATGTAGAACACTTTCACTCAACTTGTATCCACTAACACAACAACTACTACCAATGTCTGTTCGACTACAATCTCACACAGAAATTTACCAGATGCTAACACACACTAATAATTCATCCATAAATGAAATTGATTGCTTCATCTTTCATGTTTTAAACTTGTTTAAAAGAAATGTGAACTTTAAATTTACTTTTTAAAGATTTTTACATTTAATCTCACTTTTTAGGCATATACAGCTCAATATTTTTTGCTACTAAAGCCAAAATCAATCACCCAGTTTCTTAACTAATGCAAATTTTCATGCTTGGTGTGAATTATTTCTCTTTGATCTTGACTAACTGACATAAGTTATGCTAATTAACCTATCATAATAAAATATTATGAAAGTTAAGCATACAATGAGTCAATTATCATCACTGTTTCCTGTCTCATTGTTGAAATTATGTATGCCTGGTGTTACTTTGGCAGTTGCTCTGAAGTAATAACTACTACTATAGTAAAGGACAGTGCTATTTGTCAGCTATCCCTTAGATTAAGATATAAACATTTTCAAATTTATTGAGTTTGGATGCAGAGATTAGCTCAAGGGACGCTTTAACTTCCCCTGTTTTAAAAGCATGCAAGATGTGGATCACTAAATGACAATTAACCAACTTTCTTGCAGAGAAGATAGCATGTGACATTTAGAAATATAGAAATATCTTTACTGTCAACGAATCAAATAAGGGTCAGGACATCTGTGTCCTAAAGCTCAGCTTCTAATGGACATGGATCTATAATAGGAGATGCGGTTTTTCGTTTGTGTATTTTGTTTTTTGTATTTGAACCCAGGTTTGCCCATACAAGAGAGACTTAGAAAGTTTCCGAATTGCTCTAAGAATATTTCTAATAATAACTTTTGTTGTTTCAGTAAACTAAAATATTTTTCAGAACTTTTCTAATTTCTGTTGTTCTAAGTTTTAGTTTGTGTTTCAAATATAACTTTAGACCATTTAATTCAATATAGTGAAACACGGAAGTATAGCACCTGGTAGTGCTTAACTTCAATTTTGAAGTTGGCATTAGCAAGGTTATATTTGAGGTTACTTTGCTTTGTTTGAGCAATGGTAACATAGGTTTAACTTCTTATGATCCCGTTTTTGGTTCACTTTCAAGTGTAGCATTTACTTAAAGCAGATATGGTTTTCTTTCAACGTTTTTAGCTTTATCTTTTGGACTTTACTGAACGTTAACTTGGGATTTCACTTTGATTCTGAGTCGATGTTTTTTGGTTTAACTTTTAGGGGTGGGGGGAGAGAAACACACCAAACTTGTAAGAGCTTTTGAATAAAGACTTCACACTTCTCTTATCAATTGTGACACACTCCAATAAATGTTTTCCCTTGTTTTGTTCTTGTGATTGTATGGTGTTGTTATTTGTTCGTGCACTTGTTCTTCCATTGGTGTTGAATCTTTCTTCTATGACAACAAAAGTTGTGTATGGGAGACATCAATATACTCTTTGTCCAGTATTCTCTGGAACTCCAGTTAGGGGGCCTAAGTGATTCATCTGCGGGGAAAATTTTCCAGGAATACCATACTACACACAGCAATGTGAGTTGACACAGATAAATCAGGAACAAAGTAGACTTATTGGTTCCATAGAAATACTTTGTGATACCATCTTATCTTCGTGTAATGCATCCAACCTGAAATAAATTTTTAAATATCAAATGTTGAAGGGCATATTTTTCATTAATCAAACTAAAACTCACGATAAATTTACGTGGCTTTATAACTATACATGTCTGTACACTTGCGGGATTACCGCATTTGTAACACTACCTTTGGTACTAAAATGTGATAAATTTGGCCACTATATGAATAGACGTTGTTTGGCTAGCAATTCATCAGTGTTTGAATAACTAGCATCTATTTTATCTTTAGTGATGAAAACATACTGTTATAGAGTTGTCAAACATTAAGGTATTATGTCTTTAAATTCCTGGAAACTGGCTGACCACTCCAAGAAAGCATAATCAATATTTAAGTAAAATTGTAGCATATACTGATAGTGTCTTAAGCATTTCACGAAAATCACTTGCATCAGAAGTTTATTTTTCGTAGTGCAGTGGTTGTTTTGATCAGAACTATTAGGTATAAACAATAACTTGTTCCAGACTATCTTGAAGCTGAGAAGGAACAGTTCTATAGCAGTACCAACAGCTGCACTCAAAATGAGCTTTGCGTATAGACATGGGTAAGTCAGGAGAGTATAACAACAAATGACACCCCTTTTTAGGGCTAAAAATGAGTGTTTATAACTCTTCTTCTAGATGAATCGTTAGTATTACTGAGTCAAAGAAGAAAGAGGTGCTTATCCAATTACATATAATGGGATAAAAGTTGTATACTTCTTATAACAAAGTAGAACCAATTTTAAATAACTTTTCCTCATTCTTGTCTGAGCTGTTTATCAAAATAGAATACGAAAATGCAAGGTTAGGGGATATAGTAACTATACATTGCCGATACAAGTTCACCCACTGTGTCAATCATGTACTCCACTTGTCGCCATTATGAGACAATTATTTCTCTTTCAGATTCTGTATTCTAATTGGTAGTCCTACGAAATCAACTGCTGCTTCAACGGCGACGTAACCTTTCGATGTACAGCACGAATCAATATGTGACGTCGCGATGACGTGCTTTGTTTCAGTTTATGTCTGCGCAGAAAGAGCCACTCTCACCGTAACTTCTTCATTGGCTCTGATGTTACAGCAAGTAGGGATTATTTGTATGTAGATGTCTTTTACGTACGGTGAAAAAATGCACAAATAACTTAATTCAATTTGTAGTAGGTGCAATAACACCTAAAAAGAAATCCAGTAACATTTTCGTTTCTCTTTATTTAATACGTTAATTTTACGTATTTAAGGTGATTATTTGATCAGTCTTGTCCCGTAAATTCATGAAAACAGAGCAGAATAAGAAATCAATTTGAAAACGTCGACTGATTTTATGATTTTATACCTCAAATATCACAATTTAGAGTACAATTATTAAGTGAAAATAAATATCATAAATTGTGCATATCTAAAGGTTACTTATAAAGCGAAAACAAACGTTGGAAAATTCGCAAAATAAGGTTGTTCCATTTGTCGTTTTTTTTGGTTCATTTTTTATTGTTTAACTAGATCTATACCTACTATATTTTTCAGTTGAGTTTTACAACGCTAAAAATCGGGTTTCGATACCTGGGATGGGCAGGGTACAGATAGTCCATTCTGTAGCTTTATGCTTAACAACCACCAACGAAACTGCTCATAAAAATATTTTCTGCTTTGCTTTCATTGTAAATTCACTTAAATTTTATAACAAAATAAAGTACATACATTTGTATTTTATGCTAAACTATTATAATTTTGCATCACAACGCCAATGCAACTTGCTTTATATTCATATTTATCCTCTATAACAATAGTTAGATAATAAGACACGTTAAGGTGTTGTTTTTCTTGTCACTTATTAAATTCGAAGTGAATGAATTTCTTTCCTTTCGTGAATATCGCTTCTTTACTACAAAACAAACTTAACGCATCTCAGTTCTAAGAAGTTACGAACGAAAGTGAAGAGGAACATATAATAATGTGTCAACTTCACTATATCTGCTATATCCAGTGCCTACAAGGTCTTTCATCCAATATTAGGGTTCATCAGTTCGGCTGAGATACGATAGATAGATTAATGGTTCAGACGCTATTTATATTATCAAATTGTATGAGCAACTACTGTTATGGTGTGAACGAGATTAAATCGATGATTATGGGGCTCAGCCTCCAAACCTCCGCTGGGGGCGATATCCTCATACTTCCAGTGTATATAGTTATCTAATTTCTGTTGGCGCCCTGGACGAGAGTTGTTTTTTGGTTTGTTATCTTATAATTACCTAATTTCGGTTCTTAGATTAGTAACAATACGATTTAAATCGCGTTACTTGTGAACCCCCTGAAATGAGTGTCCTTAGTGTGATTGTGATATTTTATTATGGATGTCTTACACAGTTAAAAATGATACGATCTTATCAAATAGTGTTTACGTTATAAAAATGATATACATTTGCAGTTTAATAAACATGAAGACGAAAGGCGGAATTATTTTGAAACGTCGTCCTCTACACTTGAGCTGCATAAGTAGATCGTATAGCCACTAATATATTCCCACAAGTGTTTATCTAATAAGCAGTTGCCGCCCATTTCACAGTCAACTCAATCCGATTACACTACCTAAACTATCTATCAAAGCATAATTAATAATTCTGGTTTTACTCGTTCAGTCGGAGTAGATAGATACCCTCCTTTTAAAACTAAATTTCTGTTAAGTTAATTATGAAACATTTGTTTTCAGAACGTTTCGGTGACACTTCTAAATCTACTATGATGAACAATATTTTATAAAAATATACCAGGCATACTTAGATTAGACTTTTGTTGTTAGCACACTTGTCGATTCAAAATTCACTATCCCAACAGAGACAATATGGAGGGTCTTATTTCTCGTGCGTATTGATCTTATAGAGCGTGTTACTAAACGAATGTCAGTGTTCATCCGCACAGCAAGGAGTGGCTCTTGGAGCTGTGCTGCCTAGTTACGGCGTCCATTGAGAGTTGGGTGGGAGGTTAATTTCTATAGAAGCTTTCGTCAGTCCGGAAACGTAAGCGAAAGAATGTTACTGTTTAAAATGGATTTTTCTTGGAGAACACTTCTGATGCATTTGATCTTAATGTTAACATCAGGTGAGTTTGATTATTTTTATGCATGCCTTTTGCTATCCCAGTACAAAAACCGACAATCTTAATATGGAGCATTTATATTGCCAGTATACGGGGTTTTAACAGAATGTAGTTCCAAATATCATATAAAAACTTGAAATGTTTCAGCAAAAGCACAAAATATAAATGTTTTGAACAGCTAATTGGATACAGTTAATGTAGAATTCTCAGCCTTCATTGTAAAATATAAATAATGTGTACGATGTATACATTGTGCTGATACCCATTTTAAGTTTTTCCAATATTAAAGTACGTTACAATAAAACACTTCCCAATTTTACAAAATTGACACTAACATTCAGACGTGAGAGAATATCTAAAAATTGCTGTATAGAATGTATAAACAGCATTGAGGTATATAAATATAGCAACGCTAGTGAGTTTAGAGTAGACCAAAGTGTAGGTAATCAAACTTTGCATAAAAAAGGTTTGCTGAGAGGTTCCCAAATTCTGTGTCACGTGATTCTTATAATTCTACTTACTTTAACATATTGGGGAAGATGGCACGATTAGAAAAAGTAAACTAAAACAATAGGTCCAAAGTAATTACTTCAAAATTTGTGTGAACACATTTCATCCGCCATCTTGGATTTCATATAACTCTTGATTAGGAGTGCAACAAAATCAGCTCTAAATGAAAAGTTATTAATGTGTAATTATTGATAACGTTATCTGGAAATAAAACGATGCTTGTTAGTAAATATGACTAAATAGACAAGATAGGTTGATTTTTTTTTTCAACACTGCAGATATAGAAACATATATTTAGTGAAACCCCAGGCGATCGATACTTATCCTCACGAGAATCCACGAGGGAAATGACTGAACAGTATTAAGAATTTTCCCAATATTATCTCTCAAGGCACGATTAGCCAATTTTATATCTGCTATTTTCACTCAGCCGATTTAACATGAAAGCCTGAAAAAGTTTAGATTTAGTGCTGTTGGGTCACGACATTATTCACCGGTCGAATGTGATAACCTTATAGAATAGTGCCTGAAGAGGCAACTTTAGTCTCAGTACGGTAGTCTACACTTTTTAGTTTTTCAACTACAAATTGGTGTTCCATGCAACTTTGAGAAAGGTGTATACTGTTAGCCCATGTTTAATTTGACCACACTTATCTTTGGTTTCGAATTCCATCATTTTTCCTCACTGTCGTGATGAATTTGCTATATTATTAAATTACCAAGTTTTCATTTATTCGGCGCTTCTTGATATTTGTATACTTTTACATGTGTAAGGGTTTTCTCTTCAGAGTAGAATGGTAATATGTTGGATTTGCCTATGGCAATTGTAGTTCCTTGTTCAGAGTAGGATGGTAATATGTTGGATTTGCCTATGATTATTGTAGTTCCTTGTTCAGAGTAGAATGGTAATATGTTGGATTTGCCTATGGCAATTGTAATTCCTTGTTCAGAGTAGGATGGTAATATGTTGGATTTGCCTATGGCAATTGTAGTTCCTTGTTCAGAGTAGGATGGTAATATGTTGGATTTGCCTATGGTTATTGTAGTTCTTTGTTCAGAGTAGGATGGTAATATGTTGGATTTGCCTATGGTTATTGTAGTTCCTTGTTCAGAGTAGGATGGTGATATGTTGGATTTGCCTATGGTTATTGTAGTTCCTTGCTCAGAGTAGGATGGTAATATGTTGGATTTGCCTATGGTAATTGTAGTTCCTTGTTCAGAGTAGGATGATAATATGTTGGATTTGCTTATGGATATTGTAGTTCCTTGTTCAGAGTAGGATGGCAATATGTTGGATTTGCCTTTGGTAATTGTAGTTCCTTGTTCAGAGTAGGATGGTGATATGTTGGATTTGCCTATGGTAATTGTAGTTCCTTGTTCAGAGTAGGATGGTGATATGTTGGATTTGCCTATGGTAATTGTAGTTCCTTGTTCAGAGTAGGATGGTGATATGTTGGATTTGCCTATGGTATTTTGTAGTTCTTTGTTCAGAGTAGGATGGTAATATGTTGGATTTCCTTATGGATATTGTAGTTCATCGTTCAGAGTAGGATGGTAATATGTTGGATTTCCTTATGGGTATTGTAGTTCATCGTTCAGAGTAGGATGGTAATATGTTGGATTTGCTTGTAGGATTAATAATGCATCGCTTATCCGAAAAAATATGATTTTAATAAAATATTGTTGCGGATGAAGTTTAAAGGTCATCACAGTCCAGATTTGTGGTGCAAATACTTGGTCGCAAGTATATAATGATAGCATGTTTATTTTTACTACACATACTTGGTAAAAACCAGTCACAGTACAGATTTTTATAATTTACTTACTGTTTGTTAGGTAGATTGTTCGATTAATGAAGTATACCCTTTCTTCTGACTAGCAATCCGTCATGGCGACCACAGAAGTGGTGACGTCCTACGCAATGCGTCTGTAACATTAGTACACGACTCAGTAATTATTTCTTTGTTAAAATTAATCACCAGCGGATGACTCTCTGATGCTCTTTTTTTTTGTCAACACCTTTGACATTTTCATCCAATTTTATATAAATATATAAAAAAGTCTAGTTTAAATCAAGCATCGAAAACTTGAAAGTGAATACACAGGTAATTAGTTTCCTGGTAAAGAACATTGATTTAATTTAAAGGACAAAAATAACGAATGCCTTACGCTTAGAGTGATCAAATATCCAGTTAATATCGTGACGGTCCCTTTTTCAGATCCATGCCCTTAGTACCTTCTAGCTTTAAATTGAGACAACCCTCGTTTCAATTTTCATTTAAAAGTATTTTGCATAGTGTTAAATATCATAATTTTACACGCCAATTAAGTATTTTATCGAGTTTTACTTCAAATAAAATAGAAATTACTGAAAAATTTTAAATCTTTTTTTAGAAATAAATGGACTGATAAACACGAAAAAGATCTTAAAAACTTCTGAAAGAAAGCATCAAAATATACTCTTTCGCCCCAGTTATTAAAAAACAACGCAGTCAAATATCCTCCTCCCTGAAGTATTCCCTCTCTCCTTGGCCCTAACTCCCACTTCCCGTTTTTATCATTTTAAGGACCTATAGTAATTGCAGCCTTATCGAAAAAATAACATATACTATAGTGCTCTAGTCACATTTAAAAAAAGACGATATCTCTAGAGTTTTTTTAGAAGACAGTCTTTCTTAGACAGCTAAAACCCAAAATGCTCAAGTAGTGATTTTTTTATCCGTGTGATTCTACTTTATTTACAAGTACTGGGACTATCTTGTTTCTGTTATGGTATTCTACAGATAGTATGAAAATATTAAAAATGTTATATAGGCGTGTGATTTTTCATAATTCTATTACCACGTATTTCGTCTACATTAAGAGTATCTCGTAATGACACGTCGTAGCTACTGACGACATTCTTCATGTAGCAACTATTTTTGTGTACGCACGATCGTCGTGGCAGGCCTGATTATGTGGCTTTGGTACAGTTGACGTTTTATACAGATCAATACACTCGCGCCAAAAGACTTCCTTGAAACAGAACTGGGCTTGATAGGTTTCAGTCCTGCAAAACTGCAAAATTCAACGTTAACTTATGAACAATCGTAATTATATTTTCACAATTCTAATGGAGATTTCGAAGTTTATAGTAAGTTGTTTGAATTGTTTAAAGCACATCACACTTTTGAAAGACTGGGAAATAAAGTAAACTTATCTGTTAGAACAAATATATGTATAAATCCCTCAAAATATTTTTCTCCTTTACCAATCCACAAAATAATTGTGCAAAACAGTAGATAAATACCATTTAATACATAAAAAGGAACTTTTATTGCGTGTCGTCCATTTTCAACCATTACTGGTACACCATATCATTTATTAATAAAAGAAGCTTTTCGAATATAATTGGTACTAGATGTACCATGAATGACTCTCTTAAACTGTGCATGTTTCATAAACGAATGTGCATTTACAAAACTACGAAAGATAAATCAGCTTATTCAAAATCGAACTAACCTGGAAAGCTTTAGACATATAGGATGAGAAATTGTTATAATTTCTCCAAATTAGTTATTCCAGATAAAACTTGTGATGCCTTAATTACTGTGTTTTGTGCCTCGTTCAACATTTTGTACTATCAGTTGTGTTATGCAACCATATCATACATGTTATACCCATTAGATGAGCCTTAATTACTGTGTTTTGTGCCTCGTTCAACATTTTGTACTAGCAATTGTGTTATGCAACCATATCATACATGTTACACCCATTAGATGAGCCTTGATTACTGTGTTTTGTGCCTCGTTCAACATTTTGTACTAGCAGTTGTGTTATGCAACCATATCATACATGTTACACCCATTAGATGATACAGTTGTGTTATGCAACCATATCATACATGTTATACCCATTAGATGATAAAAAGGGAACATCTAAGTTTCTCTAGTCTTGATTATTCATTTGACTGCCTGAGGGCCAAGGTCGCCCCATATGTTTTTTCTTTAGAAGAGATTATTGTACCATGAATGATATTATGAAGAGCAGCAGTGCTTCTGTTCTAGCTGCAAACCATGTGACTGACTGGGGGCCTGACCCACCTCTTATTAATATGAGAGTGACCCTTAATCATTTGGATGGGTTGTGTATCCGGGAGGAGAGAACTATGTATACAATTTATAATATATTTTTGGTAAGTATAAGAGGTTTTGGAGAAAGTTCAAGTATACAGAGAATTTGAAGATTTAAGATTTAGACAGAAAGAGACAAACAGAAATTGTATTGAGATTATATAGTGGTTATGCAGTTCTCAGTTTCATGCACGGAATTACCTTGATATTCCACTCCACATTTTCTGTGATACTAATCTGAAAATAACCTACTTTTACTGCAGACTGAACGTCATTTTATTATGTTCTTCCTATATTTTAAGTGATAAAACTATTTCAGATTTGCCATTCCAAGCCTCATTTGATTCCTCGTTCCAATGTTCAGTTCAACAATGGTTTATC